TTTTGTCGGAGGAGCCGGGAATGACAAGGAAACCACCCATGTCATCTAGAGGCTCGTGCTAGTTGTCAGCTTAGGGTGATTCCTCTGATTGGTATGCTGCTCCGGATTTGTCCGGGCTGGCATTAGCTTGAATGTGTCATTTGGTGGAACAGTGTGCCAGCTCTATGTGTCATCGGAGTGCAGACAGGTGTGCCCTCCAACTGTCTTATTGGGGTGAGCGCGATTGGGGGAGAAGGTGGGAGCTCGGGGTATGGTCCGCCTTTGAGCATGGGTCAAGCATCTTTGGCATGCCGAGTCACTGGTTCTGCCAGAAAGTGGCAACCCGCATTCGACTCCCTACAAAGACAACGCATGTGTGTGTGTGTGCGTGTGTGCGCGCTCGCACGCGTGAGCAACTGGGCAACTCGGGACACACAGACATAGGCAGAGGCACAGAGAGAGAGAGAGAGAGAGAGCCAGAGCCAGAGCCAGAGACAGAGACAGAGACAGAGACAGAGACAGAGACAGAGACTGACTTACAGACAGAGGAAGACAGACAGACAAAGACAGACATACATGCACACATACCTGGAGCGTTACCAACATTTCTGCCCTGAGCCCCAAACATAGTTCAAAACCAAGGGTCGTCACCAAAATATGGTATTGTCCTGCTTCGCCCGAACCGGGCTGATCGCGCAAATATTCGCAAACGAGCGCACATTTAGAAAACCTAGCAATTGCTCGCCTCCCTCTGAGAACAGAACGCCCTGTTTTTGAAGGACCGCGAAGCATCGAGCAGAACATCATGGCTCGAAAAAACAACATCTTACGTTGTATCCTGTTTGGTTTCCCTAGTGACGCCATTCACGGACCGTTTGGGCAACCTCTCTAGCTCCAGGAAGCGGAGGCCGCGGGGAGCTGAGCCTTGCTTTCGCTGGGTTTGGTTGCCAACCTTCGTTCCCCTTGCCTCAAATGGGTAGAACCGGAGTCATTTTGGGGGTCCCCTAAAAGAAACACAATCCCAAACCAGCCAATCCCCTGCAGATTAGCGTGCTAGAATTCGTCCTTGGTTTCATTGTGACCGTGAGTGCATCTTGCAATGCAGGCCATGCCGGAAGACTTTGCAGACGCTCAGCTACGATGGGAATTTTCAGGATCTCAGGTGGCAACATGCGAGGTCCGTGAGAAACTGGGTTCCTCAGTATATTTGATGGTGCAAAGGCGTTGCGGCCTCTTTGCAAATTGCTATTGACAACCAGAAACATTGGGGCCCTCCACCGAGTTTTGGATGTTTCCTTGCAGGGGTTCCCCCTGAGGATTGAGGTGTTTTTCTTGCGTGCCGAGTGAGCCGAGTGAGTCGAGCCTTGTCCGGGCGCTAGCGCTGGAGAGGTTCCAAGGAGAGAAATATGGCTTTTGGACCCGTTTCACTGCCTCCTGAGGGGACAAAAAAGGCACGTGTTTTGGGCGAAAGCCAAGGTGGCCTTGAAGAACATGCCGCCGGAGCCCCAACTTGTCGCGGTTCCTCAGGATTTGAATTTTGAACTCGACTGGCAGAGTGGTCCTTTTGGCTGAAAATGTTTTTGAGCGGTTTTCTGGCGGCTGGCTGTTCTCGGGGCACTGTCCAGGCCGGAGTTGCAGGAGGCATATCGCCTGACTATGCTGGGTGCGGCGCTTATCCTTGCTGTGCTGATGCTTCTCGGGGCAAAAAGCTCGTGTTGATGACTTTCTTGGGGTCAGTCGAATGCGTTTTGTTGGGGATACATCTCCAACGTGTCAGGTTCCTTTTGGAGGAAGAACGGTCCAGTCGGTTTGCAGTCGGAGGGAAGCTCTGAGGCCGCTCCACTGGCGATGAAGGGGCACAGCGCCGGGCCAACGAGCTAGTGCTGCAGGTGGGGGTTGAAGTGCTGTGTTTTTGTGGGTGTGTCGTTTTTTAGGGGACCTTGAAAATGATGGGTTCCCTTTTGGGCTTCCTTCACCGCCAAAGACGGGGTATTCCAAGAAAAAGACAAACCCCCGTGTTTGTTTGCTAGCCTGGTGATTTCAGAATGCCCTCTTCCACATGCGCAGAAAGCGCCTTCCACTGGGCTATGTCAATATCCCAGGAGGTAAGTCGTGGTGTAGGTATGCGGAACATGGCAGAGACGCATCGGCTTTTTCCGAGCCACTTTTTGTGGGCCCAGGGATCTCACATGGGCCGTGCTTCTTCAATCTTCGCATCCTCTTGAAACATTAGGTTTGCCGAATGAGGATTGGCAAAGTTTTTGCTTCCACACCGCTCCCCTGCGAAACAGTTGCGTGCTGCTTGTTGCTGAGCTATTTTGAGACCTATGATGTGAGCGGGACAGACTTAGGCGAGGATGGACAGCTTTCCTCTTTTTTTTGCAAGCGTCGATCGTACCATCACCAGATTGCAGCATATAGAGGTGACGCCGTTTTCTTACTGGAGCCCCGATGTGGAGATTTTCTAATCATTTAAATGACTTTTTGGATGGCCAGGATCTTTCTATGGACCAGGATCTTTCTATGGACAGTAATGGTGAGTGCTTGTAAACACGTTCATGACTTGGTAGAACCGGGTTTCTTCCACAACATTTCTATATAATTCAGAAGTCCTGGTTGTGTGAAAGCTTGCTATGAGCACACAGATTCGGATTTATTCACGTCTGATACTCCCCTCGTGGCGATGGCCGTCCCAGTGAAGATCTCAGAAGGACGTGACCATTTTCCTGGGAGGGCATCACAAATTGAGGGGTCCAGGTGTGAATCCATGGTCGCAGGCTTCTAATTTCGCAGGCTTCTGATTTCCGCGGCCCTGGCTTTCCAAAAGGATTCGACAGGCCAGCTTGTTGCTTCAGGCAGTGGAGAAAGGCGGTCCGCGCCTCACCGCAACCCGTTTTATGCGGCCCTGTTTTCTTTGCCGCAAACCCACAAATGAACAATAGATCCGCTGGAAAACAGGCTGCTAAGATTTTAGACCGGAAGCCAGTCATTTCACCTTTCACCCAAGGAGTTTTGAGCGGAGCTCGGCTTTCCACGAGGTATCGGGGGAATTTTGACCAGCCAGGTCTAGCGAGCAATCTGACATGTACTGGCTTTGCTTTGGGATTTCTCAATCTTGGAATGCTGCGTGTGGTTGAAACAGTTTGCCATCCTTCGCAGGTGTCACCTTTGTATCTAAGAGGTATTTCGTGATGAACTTCGATAGGATTTCCCTCGAAAATGGCCGGTAGCCATGGATCGTTGGGCTGTAGGTGAGGGTTACCACAAGGCCCGTGGTACAACTCAACACGTCGGCAAACCCAGAGTGCAGGTTGTGTAGCGCTTCCATGGCAGCGCAGAAGTAGCTGTTTGAGGACGAGAAGCGACCATCACGACAAGAAACAGAATACTTAGTCTTTCTGTTTTGAGAGTGAAGACCACAAAAGTCCCGGAAGTCATTTTGGTGTTTTCTTTTTTTGCTGGCAGTCTGAGGCCCTGAGGTTCGCCGTAGGTTTCTGGAGGAGGTGAAGGAGAAGCTCCCGGAGGCGCCTTGGATTTGAAGCACTTGGGACCGCCCACAAGTCGGACACAAGTCCCCAGCTAAATGATGTACATCAAAGGGGTCCGGCTAGATGCTCTTTATCTGAGGGGGCCGAATTCCGTTTTGTGATTTTGCACCCAGGGACATTGCATGTGCGCAGGGCGACAAGATAATACAGTTTGGCTTTGACCCCGCCATAAGCAGCTGATTTCGAGTTGAGCCGCTCGCTCTTGAGGTGATGTTTAAGGTACTCCAAGTCAACCTTGCATATGGCTTTGGCTGCGATTGAGGTTTGACCCGTTGCAGTCAGCCAGTTGAATGGCTTTCCCTCCCTCCATGAAGCGAAATAATGCACTTGTGTTTCGGTTTCCATCCCCAGCTTCATTCTCAAGGGTTCTTGCAAAGGCAGTGGTTCCCCCCCACCTTTTAAAGAGGCATGCACCCCACTGGCACCATTTCCCATCAAGACGGGCATCCCGCCCAGCTGGTGGGACAAGATCAATGAAGAGGACACGAGCTCACGAAAGGAGCAGTCATTGTCACAAGTCCAATGCCGCAGGGCACTGTGAAGAGCCTGGATGGCCTGGATTCTCTTGACGGCCTGGACGACCTGCCCTTTGCCCAGTGGGTGTGAGGGTGGCGAGTTCAGTTGGGCAAAATTCGTTTCTTTTCTGTTCCTTACGCCCTTTCACCTTGAGGGGACCAGTTCTTTCGTTTTTATGTGTGCATGTGTTCGTTTTGCGGTACCCCATTTTGGAGTTGGTTTAAAGGCACGCCAAACGGCAGCCACCCATTTTTGCGGGGGGTCCCCCATTTGGCACATACGCATATCCAGCCTACAGTGGATGCCAGGGATGGCAGGCAGCAGTTGGATTTAGGTGGTGTATCCAATACAGTTTCATCCATGTGCCTGGCATGGATTTTGACCATCCACAGGATGTTGCATTTAGCAGGCAGGCAACTCATTAGCTTTACCTCCAGAGGTGAAGTTGGGTTGCCTCACCTTGAGCAAACAAACGAAGGGCACGTCTAGGGACGAGTCTTTTGTTGGATGGTTTCGTATGCCTCACTGACTAAACTGTCTGGCCGTCACTCCGCCTTGTCCCTCCGCTTGAGAGGACTGCAGGCAATTGAGTCGCAAACCGCTGACCGAAGGTTGGGCACTGCCAGCAGCCGGCCATTTTCTCTGAGACGTGTTTGCTTTTACTGTTCGCCGCAGCCACCTGGCTTCCATGGAAGATAGGCCGCATGGGGTCGGAATCCAAAGTGTCTTCGGCTTTTGTATGGGTGTGGTTACCCGTGGTTGAGCATGGTCACTTGTGATTTTGCCCGGGAATCATTCCCCTTCAACGCCCCTAGACGGTCCCAGGGATAGCCTTCCAGCAGCCTCGGCACAATCGCTTTCGCTTTTCGTGTTGGCCTGCTTCACGCGCGAGCTCTTTGATCTGACCGACATCAGCCCACTAGGTTTGAAGCGTTCAGCTAGCTCCAGCGCCATCCCATGGCAGAGATTGTGGCGTTTGCCACACCGTGACTCAGCCGCACGGTTACTTGTCATAACCCAAGCCCAAGGACACGCATGAAGGCTCTCGCCTGGATCGTTGGTTTGTCCTGGCAAACAAACCTGACGGCCTTTCCACGAGGATGCAAGGGGGGGCCTTTGGTCTCCAGAAAGTATGTAATTCTTTGCTTCAGTTTATTTTGCGGGTTACTTCAGGATGGAGCCATGACCGTCCTGCACACGGGGTTTAAACATCGTTGGGATAATTCCCTGGTTAGCCCTTGTTGAGACTGCAGATCTTTTGCTTTTTCCTATTGACTGGCTCAAACTGGCTTTGTCGGGCCGCCTGACTTTCGCCCGAGGCACGTGAGCGGTGCAGTGCTGAAGCACCAGGCCGGGTTCTCGATCATGGGTTCATACAGGGACGCTGAGTGATACAAAGCAAGTATCGCGCATGGGGCGAGCATGTGGAGGCTGCAGATTTGAATACATGTCGGAGGCTTTCTTCAAAGACATGATTCAATGCAGTGACTTCAACATGGGCGTCAAAGACAAGAACTCGCCAACTTGGGCAAACAGCAGTGCGCGGGCTCCTTGCTTTGCTGGTAAAGTGAACCGAGGGGGGGTTGGGGGTTAGGTTGATTTTGGTTGACGTGGGCAGGGGAGGATAAAGGGTGGATTCGGCTAGATTGAGAGTTGGTCTTGCAAGGGACCGTCCGACCAGTGCTTTCCTGGAGTCACTTTGGATTGGGCACTGTCAAATACAATAGAACCATGAGAACATCGACCTGCAAAGTGGCCGCCCATTTGTGCGCTTGGCTAGTAGTACGTCACAGGCACAACAGCTGTAAGCCCCTTCCCCTGCGTCACCCCTTGCAATTTCCTTTGCGACTTGAGGCCTTGAGCAAGGGAGGGCGAAGCTCGCTTTCATGCTTAATATCTTGGCCAAGTATTGTGACCTCCTGCAGGGTTTGGGTTTGTTTGCCTTCGCTGGAAAAGGTTCCAGAAGGCTCGGGATTCCTTATTTCAGGTGTTTGAATTGTAACTCACCCACACGTTTTCACATTCCGTACCTCGGCGCGCCACCAATTGTGGGTTCAGGTGGGCAACGTACCCTTTTAGTATGATTAGAAGGTGGAGGGGGTGGGGTGGGGTGAGAGCTGATCAGGCTGGGTTGAAGGTTTATATTTGGCTTGACGGTCTGAGCATGGCCAATTGCGGCATTTCGAAGACTTGCAAGGTGGGTTTCCAGCAACCCGTGCGCCAGTTAGTGGGAGAGTCCAGGCACCTCTAAATCAGGCTCCATTTGAGCAAGGGCCGGCGGCTGATCAAACCATTTTTTAGGCAAGCATCAAGGTCAACCGGCAAGAGCAAACGCAACCACTTTAGCTTTACTTGTTCACGCTCCGGACGCAGCTGTGCAACTCTCTTCAGCTCCAGGCGCGGCTTGGACACGAAGGCGGGGTGCGGAAAACCGCCACGATGTAAGTGGGGGGTGGTGTCATTTTGGAGGTTTTGGCTGTGAAGGGAAACTAGATGAAACTAGAAGGAGCCCGACCATTCTCCCAAAAGCCATGGGCCTTCCTGACTGGCCGATTCTACCGTGTGCATGGTTTGATACAGGCCCCAGGTGCCAGAGAGGTCTTGTCGGGATATCGTAGGTCCCCATCGCGGCCGGGCGTGGCAATGTGGCGGCTACGCAGTGCTGGCGGGCGCCGCAACCGCGTGTGTTGCGCGGCGTAGAGCCTCGGCTTTGAGTCTGTGGAGTGGACGTTGGACGTTGGCAGGTTCTTTTTGGCCTAACCAGAAAAACAGGTTATCACAAGAACAACATTTGTGATGTGTGTACTTTGTATGTTACTTTCCCTGCTGTTCGGATAGAGATGACGCCAATTGCCCTTCAATCATCCCAGCAAATTGAATTGGATGAAAGGCTTTTGCCTTCTGGTACGCATAATTGGTGCCTTTACATGCATGACTTCTGTCAGCGGGTTCGCCAAAAGCACGCATTCAAGAGCAACGACCTGTTGGAATGTTCATTCAATGTCCCTTCAATTGACTTTGATGTTTAGCTGGCAACTGAAGGGCGACCCGGAAGGTCCAACATCTGAGACATGCACCATGCGTTTGGTGGTCCTCCGTGGCTCGTCTCTTGGGGTTTGTTGGATTGGGGGATTGGACTTTGGAGATGGGGTTCCGCAGGCAGCAAACCACCAAGCAATGAAGAAGGGGTAAGGTGTACGCGACAGAGCGTCTCGAAACCTTAGGACTAACTGTGAAATGCACGCTCGGCCGAGATCCGAGAGATGAAAGATGGCTAGGCCCCATCTGCCTTTCAAGAAAACCTTGAACACAACATAGGCCAAGAGATTCTCGAACCACACACAAAGAAAGACTCCCAGAGGAATTCAACCATTAGACCACTCATTAACCAAGATTCTTGAACATGACACAGACAATCACTCGCATGCGAATGACCTTTTTGGGGGTGGTGTTCCTTCGCCCCCTCCCCCCCTCCTCCCCGCAAGAGGTCCGCCTTGGGCTCATCTCCCGGTCTGAGGGGTGGCGCGCGCCTCGAACCCCCCGCCACTGTGGAAGACCACCGCCGGGAAGCGGGACCGACCTAATTCGCGGTCAATTGGGAGTTGATATATGCACGTAGTACATGAACGTGAATATATATATATATATATATTGTCCGAATATATACATATATAACATAATATCATGCAATCTAATAATACATATATGTATATACATATATATATATGTATAAATTATGTGCATATATATATATACATATACATACGCGTTTGTCATATGTTGAGGCTATGCTTTGGGGGACGCCACCAGTTTTTCCACGAGGGCTCCGCGGATGAGACAACCAATGGTGCCGATGATGCGATGAGACCACCAAGTTTAACCATTGCAATGGTGGTTCCAATCTACAAAGGTGCGAGACAGGCAAGACGGAAAGCACGACACATCCCTCGCCCAACAAAAGGGAGCCAGCAGACTATTGCCCTTCGGAGTGAGCGCAATTTACGCAAAGGTGGCAGAACATTGGATACTGGCATGAGTGGGTTATAGGATCACCCTTGTTGTGATTTTGTCGCCCATTCAGTTATGCCCAAAGCAAATGCGCCTTTTTGAAATTCGGCCAGCGACATTTCTTCTCCTTCAATGTTCCCTGAAATTGGGCAACTGGCATTCTGCACTTTTGTATTGGAGCGCATCCCAGCTTGGCAATCTATGTTGGGTGCGAGCGAGTGTGCGTGTCCATCGGGATGCATCAGCCTCCGAGGACCCCTTCGGTTTGCGCGGGTTCCGGCAGACCTGCTGCTAGGCAAACGCAAAGCATCGGTTGGAAGGGTTTTTCAGTTTTCATTCCTTTGATGCCTACTTGTAGGTGATAGTTGCTCGGCAGTCAAAGTGACAAAAACAAGGATCCATGTTAATCGGTTTGTTGAGACCATCCAGAGTTGCTATTTTATTGCGATGTTCCAGCATCAATGCGTTTGCTGTTCACCTTTCATAGAGGATGAACGTGGGCTTAGCGGCTGCACGGTCTTCGTGCGGTCCAGGTTGTTGGGTGGCGGGGAATGCGCTTCATCCGTTTTAGTCTAGATCCTTCCCAGTGGCCTTCCCGACTTTAAACGAGGCCCAGCTGGTAAAGCATTCAAATGACCTGTGGTTTCCATTTTGCGGATCGCTAGGTTCCTTTCCAAAGCCTTTGGAATGCTAAGTAAGTTAAGTGAAATATGAGCGACACCGCGCGAGAGGAGCTGAAGAACTTCATCGCTTGGCATTTGGAGACGAAAGGACTGCCGCAGCCCACCGTGCGAGCGTGCGCGCGCGCCTGTTTGTTTGTTTGTTTGTTTGTTTGTTTGTTTGTTTGCTTGCTTGTTTGTTTGTTTGCTTGCTGCTTGCTTGCTTGCTTGCCTGCCTGCCTGCCTGCCTGCCTGGCTGGCTGTGGCTGGCTGGCTGGCTGGCTGGCTGGCTGCTTGTGTGTTTGTCTACTTGTCTGTGTTTGTTTGTTTGTTTGCTTGCTTGCTTGCTTGCTTGCTTGCTTGCTTGCTTGCTTTCTTGCTTGCTTGCTTGCTTGCTTTCTTGCTTGCTTGCTTTCTTGCTTGCTTGCTTGCTTGCTTGCTTGCTTGCTTGCTTGCTTGCTTGCTTGCTTGCTTGCTTGCTTGCTTGCTTGCTTGCTTGCTTGCTTAAGCAAGCTTGCTTGCTTGCTTGCTTGCTTGCTTGCTTGCTTGCTTGCTTGCTTGCTTGCTTGCTTGCTTGCTTGCTTGCTTGCTTGCTTGCTTGCTTGCTTGCTTGCTTGCTCGTTCGTGTGTTTGTTTGCTTTTTGTGTGTTTGAGTTTGTAGGGAGCTTCCGACAGCAAAGCAAGAGGAAACATCAGTGGTAGGCAATCAGTCAGCACGTTGCTCTACTCGTGCCATTTCTGGCTTCCTGGGCTTGGCAGGAGAGCAGCGCACAAAGAAGATGCTGGACGACATGAAGGATTTGGGCTTCAACTGCGCTAGGGCCTGAGGTAAGCTTTTGCAAGGCACAGACGGGGATGCTCTGAATGGAAACAATCCGTTGAGAAGAGTTTCAAAGTGGGTCATGGTGGAAAGGAGACTTGACCTTGCGAACTCTCCTGGAGGAAAACACATTTTCAGAGGAGCAAGACAGGCAGCTCATCATCCTCTCATCATCCTCTTGTTGAGTAAATCAGCACGGAATAGATCCACGTGCAAGCCGGCAATATCATTGAACACTTCTTCCCTATTTAGGAAGGAGGATGGGACCGTGATGAGTCATATGTAGGTGTTGCTTCAAATTTGGCTGCGAACCCGAACATACTTCTCAATCCAGCATCCTTTGCACTCCACCAAAGCATTTGACACATTCTCGTCGTTCACCCTCATTTTCTGCCACGAAATGGCACCAACCCTCCCAGCAATAAGTCTTGACCTTTTCCCCACTTTTTTGCCTTTTGCTCCGTCACTTTTCTCCTGATTGCGCAGCCATGAATTCTCCAGAGCGGTCTATTGGTTTGGTTAAGACGCCTCCTGTTTGAAGAGCTTTGATGTTCCGGAGAGGTCCTTCCAGCTGAGGCAACCCGAGCTGGCATCTCTTTGGGCCTAGATGCCGCTCGTCCAAGGGGCTTGCCGGAAAAACGGGGGCAAGCGCCGGCTTGAGGTGCCCTTTGGAGAGGGGGTGGAGTTTGACAGAAAGATGAAGTGCTGGGTACCGAGGGGCCCGTGTTTGTTGGCAAAGTGTCACCAGGGCCCGTTTTAGGATGGGTATAAGAGGACATGACATCGGTTTGACATATTTATTAGGGGCCTCTTCAGAAAGGAATTTGAGACCATGGGCAGATGCCCAGGCCTGGAAGCTAGTCCCAACGGACTGGGAACTCCATGAGTCCTCTTGGGAGTCTGTGCCCGCCAGATGAAGCACAGCCAAACCCGAGGCCAAGCCATCCTCACTGAACTGACTCGCATCCAAGCGCGCCAAATCATGTAGCTCATCTTGTGCAAACGAACCAGCGGCGCTGGGCAATCGAGCAAACCAGACAACAAGCAAACCACTTTTTCACTAGGCAGACGCGGAACCCAGCCCTCATCCCACCCCTAAACATCACCCAAGACCTGCTGTATTTGACGCGAAGCACTTGACTCCCAACCTAAGCCAACCTCAAGCACTTTGAACATGGGGTTGTCTGTTGCGAGGGTACCCTGTTTGGTGGTTTCAAAATGACCTTCAATGAAAGCAAAAGGAAAGCCCCCATTTTGAGGCTAAAAAAATGACAGACGCATCTAGCAATACGTTAGTCTTTCCTGTGACACCCCAAGATGGCGGCCCCTCCATGTCTCAAGCAAAAACCAGACCAACGGCAGGGGGCTTCGTAATTATAATCACTGGCGATTGCGACAGTCATAAGCCAAAGGGCGAAACCGTTTCGACTGAGCCAATGGCGCAGGAGAGGAACGCAAGCCACTCTCAATCCAATTCAAGAAGCCAACCGGCTCTGACGTACCTTGCAAGCACCCTAAACCCTGTTAACCAGTGAGGAATGCCTTGTTCAGAGTCACTTACCCTGGGCACTGTTTTCTTCATATACCCCGGTCCGTGACAAACCAACCCCAAGCCCAACCAAAATCCGCTCCAAAAACACTTGCACGTCCATTCCACAGCACATGGTCGACCCCAGGGCCCAAGCCGGACATAAATTGAGCACTGCCTCAAAGAATCACACCAACATCACCAGTACCACCACAGCTTGGTTCATGTTTCAAGTTCAGAAAGCTCAACCGGGATCCAGAAGACCACCGCTAAAGCCAAGCAGCCCACGCAGCGCGCGCGCGCGCGCTCCTTTCGCGCAGGACATGAGCGTCCCGGAGCGAAAGGGCGCCTTCTGCGACGGCAGCTCTGAGCGGCAGTTCGCGGCTGAGGCGGGTGGGTACCTTGAAGCGGACCTGACGGGAAAGGGATCGAGAGCGTGAACAGGCGGAGGTGGTTGGCCAATTGAATCGTTCTGGCCGTCTCCACTTGGATCGCACAGAGGTTCCCCAAGTCAAGCAGTGAGTTCGAATTGGGGGTGCTCCCTCCCGGGCTTGTCTAAGAGCTTTTGGCGGGCACATGGCTTTCTCATGTTTCTTCTTTCCGCGCAAAGCGCATGAGTTGTATTTTATGTCACATGACTCACATGAGTCGAGCTTGCTGGCTTCTATGGGTTCTTGTTGCAACGTGCGTATCACGGTGTCATGGGAGCAACCCCAGTCTGTGAGCTTTCGGGCAGAGTAAATCCCTTGAGATTTGTTCAGTTGCGTGCCTTTAAGCTGTCACAGTACCCCGGTGCATGTCTAAGATGCCTGTATAGGTTCATCAGAAAGGCAGTCTTTTGAAAGAGAACATCATCGGTTCTCTCGCAGATGACTTACATTCATGGATGACAGTTTGCATCCTCAGATGAGAGCTTGCCAAACACAATGAACAGCTGAGCGACAGTTGCTGACAATCTAACGTTTGGCCTCTACGACGTATCCGTGGCCTGAAAGCTGTTTGCCGCTTTCTGGCAGCAAGATCTGGAGTGGGTCGCTTTGGATTTGGGATGGCTCATTGCTGTCGTGGAATTGATCACCGAAAGAGCAATGACATAGTCTCCTTTGGCCAGCTCAATCAAGGTATTTGGGTGTGTCTTTCTTTGAGGGTACCCCTTGTTGGGTTGGTTTTGACGGAAACCAAAAGGACAACCACCATCTCTTTGTCAAATGTCCGCTAAACAAGACACACCCATTTCACAGTCACTGATCTCTTCGCCTCTTTGAACAATTCTCAATATGATAATGTTGGTGACCTGCAAAAGCCTGAATAAACACCTGTCTTCTTCAGAACTCCGAGAAACTGTACCTTCTGGGTGGTAGTGGTTTTGCAAGGCATCTTGTAAAATAGGTTTTGGTACATTCAAAGGTGGAAGTGATCTTGTGAAACATCTCTATCTGGATCTCTAAGAACTCAGCACTGTTTGTTGCTCATGTCCGAGTCCCCGAATTCCGATGCGGAAGACTCGACCGATGCCGATTCCCGAAAGCAACATGATTCACGTGAGCGCCGAATGCGGCGCCTTGTGCAGGCCGAGTATTCCAACGGGGACAGGACGGTGGTGGAGAAGTTTCTGGCCGTCACTGAGGAATGGACGAGGACCAGCGAGAAGGTCAAGGACGAGGCCGTGGCCAACTTCAAAGATACTCGGAAGGTATGGGCGTGGTTCGGCTTCTGTTGAAGGCATTCGTTTTCCAGGTTGGTTGAAGATGGGATCCGGCTGACTTTTGGCCGACTTGCATTTGCTCGGGGCGGGGATTGTTACCCCTTTTCTCCTTAACAAAGCACTTCAGTGGCCATGGCCAAAAAAACAGGCACCCTTTCTTGGTTCTTGATCTTTAGGGAGAACATCCTCCAAATAAGTTGAAAGAGAGATGAAAAGGATACCCACCATCTTTAGAAGTCCTGTCTGACACCCAACCGGTTTTTAGGGGCACCTAGAACTCCTGCGTCGTCCCTCCTAAGCGGAATGCAGCAAGCAGCCCTAAACATTTGCTGGGTTCGGAAAACCGCTGGCAACCCCACTAGCAAAGCAACCAGAACCGGGAACCCGGCGCATCTTTCCGAGAAGGTCCCTTTAGTTGATTTGGGCGGGCTGAAGGGTGGGTGAAGCCACACGTGCGGTCCTGAGGAGAATGAGCCGAACAATCCCGCTGGCACCTCAGTGGGCACTGACTTGGGATCAAGCGATGGACTGCCCATCTGGACCCACCGGACTCGACCGGCATCGTGTTCCAGACTCTCGTCGCCACTTTCCGCTTGACGCGCTTGGGGAAGAAAAAGGAGCCCCTATGGACTTTCGAGGTCGTGTCCATCTTGGGAGAGGGGTGTTCTCGGTTTGCTTCTACATTGATCTTCTTGCAACCATGTATGGATTTTCTACATTTGGGCTCCAGGCCCTTCTTGTATACTCTCACCGCCATCAGCTAGGAGTGGAACAAAGAGCCATAGCTGCTTGTGCTTGCAGGGCAAAGATCAGGGCATCAAACAACCAGGGCACATCCTCAGCTTCCTCAACATCCATCACCTGATGCTTCCTTTTTTGTTCTGAGATAGAACCAGGGACGCAGTGAACCGAGACAATAGTGGTAATCCCTTCGGGGTGAGTAGCCCCTGTACGGGCCACAATCGGGGAAGTAAAGGCGCCCACGGATTTTCAGGGTCATAGCCATTCTGGGAGAGGGTGGGATGACAACGCAAAGTCTGGAAGAGGTCTACATGATGTCCAACAGCGGCGCGCGGGGCAACGTGTCGCAGACGCGGCAGCTGGTGGCGATGCGAGGCTTGATGGCAGATGCGACTGGCGCCTCGGTTGGGACGAAAAGCTGTGGGACTAATCGGCCAAGATCGAAGCACCGAACAGGCGCCCGAGCAAAGCAGGCTGCCCACCTGCGCATTCACTGCTTATAGGCATGTAGGCACATGGATGAAACACAGATGCACGGATACATGAAAACATCAATATATGAACACGTTGATACATGGTTACATCAGTGCATGAATGAATGCCAGAGTTTCGAATGCATAGATCCATCCATTTGCGCGTGGATGCGCTCGTGCGAGTGGGCGTGCTGCACATGCGCATACAAACATATCTTATATATATATATACGTACACATACAGAGACACGAAGAGCCGTTTCTTCACTTTTGGGCCCCGGATCGATTTAGCGGAGAACAAGCTTATTTGATATTTACTCATCAGCTGGAAGAAATATGCAAATGAATGGAGCACCTGCTTTCATGCTTGAGGTCAGCTCATCGAGGCCACTTGGCAGCACAGAAGAGACACTCTTCGCCTGCCTTAGACCTGTGGTGTTGCACCCCTAAAGATGAAATGTGGATGTCCGATTCATCTGCCCATAGATGTTCTCCAAAAAGGGTAGGGTTTCTCTCATACAAAAAGGTTGTCAGGGGTTGATACTTCTTGACAACTATTCTTTTCTTGGGGAGGGGGTGGCGGCGGGCTGCTGCTGCCGCATCGTGCTTCGTCGGTTGGGTGAAGGTGCACAAACACTGGAGAGGCACGGCGCGGCACCCACGCTCCTTGCCTGTTTCCTTTTGGTTCCTTCTTTTACAACCGATCTGAAAAGCGGGGCTTCCAGGCAGCTTCCCTCTTCTTTGGTAGATCCACCAAGTAGGTCTGGTTGAAAAGGCCAAAGGAAATCCCCTACGGGAAACAGATGGGTCCAACTTCTCAGAGGCAGATGCATTCCAACTCCCAGGAGCCGATCCAGCATTGCCTGCGGGAAGGCATGACCATCACCGACATGCTGATCTCAGGCGTGGAGCTGAGAGAGCTGACTCCAGTGAATCCAAGTTCACGGTTCTAAAGGGAAGCCAAAGAAAACATCATTTTGGGGCGCCGCTTAAAAAAGGAGACCCCCGTTGCATCTGGCCACATTTGCTTGTTATCAACAGCGTGAGCTTCAGCTTCTTCCCAACAGTTGGCCTCTTTCGCGCGGAGTTTGGCAGGCCACGGTGCGCGCAAGGCGCGATTTGAGAGGGTGTGACACGGGAGGTGACAAAGCGATCCTCTTATTGCCGGCTTTGGCAACAACATGTTTTCCAGCAACCGCTGTGTGAGGACAACAAGCAGGAGCAAACAGTCAAAGTCTGAGCGTGAAATTGAAAAAATGTTGGAAGCAGGAAGCAAGGATGAATCATGCTCTACCCCAAAACATCTCACCAATCCAGTGAATCTAGTGAGGCCCCTTTTGGGACCGCTGCTTTCGTCATTGGAACAACCCCTTCATTCGGCAAATGCACCAGTGCCCCATTGCAGATGGAGAGGAGAAGAGGGGGAGGGGTGGGGGTTGGAGGTTTCAAGGCCGCTGGATCCGCAACCCGCAACCTGAAGCAAGGCTTAGTTGTTTTTTTGTTTGCAACATTTCGCCTCCAATTGGCATCTTTGCAACGGGTTCAACTATGGCCCGCCCTAGTTTGAGCAATTTGATGGCAGACACGACTTACGTTGAGTTTCATGTCCTGCAAACATGCATGCAGCATGGAGGCAACAACTGCTTGTCGGAGAGCATTGGCAATCCTGGCTGCGCTGTCTTCTCAAGACATGAACGTAGGGTGGCTAGATCCACCGCGCATGCTGATGCGGAGTGTAGATGAGAGCCCACGTATTATGTCATCATGCAAACAGGGATTAGTCGAGTGGAACAGCGGAAGTAAGGACAGCTTTGAAATCAAGCTTCACACCCGGCACCCCATACCTCAACACACATAGGATTGGTCAAAGGTGGAAGGACGACCTCACTACAAACCTACAAGCACAACGTAGATGACGGCCCTACACCCCAGAAACTTTGCAGCCCGACGTATACGAATCAAGCAGAGAGGGAGCGTCCCTGTCGTGCGCAGGGCGTCATTGACACGGCCCTGCGCACGGCCAACTCGGGATATTTGTATCGGCGCCTGGACTTTGCCGCGTCACCCGTAGTGGCCAGGAGCCTAGTGGCAGGCGGCAGGATTGCGGCCCTAACATGTGCACCACTATGCTTCCAGCGACCCCAAAGATTTGGATCAAACAAGGGCCTCACATGAACATTGATCGCTGTTGAGAATGATTCTTGCTAGATTTGCTCAGCCCGGATTCCACTGCAAATAGAAGGGCAGGCTCTTTTTAGAAGGCTGAAGAACAACATTTAGTGAGTGAGTGAGAAGGGTCCACGTTGTGTTGTTTGTTTTCGCGCGTTTCGGAGGCTTTGCTCGCCAGGTCCAGGAAGAGGTGGGTGCATTGAAAGGTTCGTCCCACTTAGAGACACTGATGGGTTCATCCCATACCAACAGTGCAGACATTGGAGGTCATCCCACTTATGTGACTACTCATTGATATTACTGGGATGGTTCGGATTTTCCGTCTTACCATTTGGGCATGTGTCAAAACTAGGATCCAGCAACGGGCAAAACATATCAATGCGTTTTTGTTTTCAGAATGGACCCTTGGGCTCTTGGGGCAGGTAACGCTTAGTTGGTGATTGGTGGGACGTGAGGATTTCAACTCTGAGTTCTTGTGGACAGAAAGTGGGACACCCTAACCCACCAAAAATCCAATGTAGGCGGAAAATGGGACAGCCTAAGCCACCAAAGCGCCACTCCAAGCCACGGAAGGCGACTTTGGGATCCGACTTTGGCCCTGAGGTCCGGGCCAAGGACTGCGGCACCCAGGACGCGTGGCCGGAGAGGCTGAAGGGCAAGAACAAGGCGCGAGAGAGCGGAATCCGATTGGGGTCTCCTCGGAAAAGAGGTTGTGTAGACTCAGGGAAGAGCCACCTGCTTTTCATAGACTCAGTATTACTTGAACACATTTTCAGATGCGGCTAGGATTTTGCGCAGAGAACCACCTGCAGAGTGGGTGGTGGACATGAATCTACATAAATTTGTTTACTAAACAGGCCCCAGTCAAAAATTGACACCCAATGTGCAGCAAAATCGGAGAATCTGATTTTCTGTCTACTCAGATGTCGGCCAATCAAGCTTTCCTGCCTATAGTCCACTTGGCAGATGGGGCAGTCACTAAATTTCCAGAGAAAAACTAGGGGACTTCCCACGCAGGGACATCAAGTTCCGAAACAGAAGAAACGGGGGACTCTTTCCCGGAGGGAGTTGCTTTATCTTTCATTTCAACATGGGACAACAACAGAAAGTTTTTCTAGGGACGCACTCGAATGAGCGACCGGATCGATCTCACCCTGTGAGGCGGTCACCAAAACGAGCCCTGCCTAGTTTCTGGGTCGAAAAGCTTGTTTCAGGACACGGGCCAAGTGAGTTCCCATGGCTTTTGATAGTTTGAGCTCGACCCCATACCAGTGCTTTAGTGGGATATACAGCGACTCCATAACTGCTACAAAACCCATAACTGCTATATAACATTGTAACTATGTCCACTGTACAACCACTGTACGACTACTGTACATAGACAACAACTATACAACCACTCTACAACTATATACCCACTATATGACAGCAATACAACTTCCCGGGGGTTTCTTCCCCCCCGAGGCGGTTGCCAAGTTCAGCGACCGGCTCCGGGGCCGCGTCTTGGCGCAAGACGTGGTCCACCCGGCCACCTCGGCGCCCCTCTTCTCGGCCGGGCGCCGTGGCCAATCCCGCGGGGTCCGGGTGGCGGGTTTTCCCATTTTGAAGCTGAAAGTAATGCAAATCTGGCATGTTGGCGCAAGAAAGCACCAACACCCCCTCGTTTTAGCATGCTTTCCTAAGATTGGGCACCGAACATTGGGGTTTCAATGAAAGGCGACCAAGCAGAAGGCGTATCACAACAGTTACTCCAGAGTGTCCTCGAATCTGCCCCTCTACGCTTCCACAGGTGTTTCTGGACGTCTGATCCGATGTGTCATTTGCTTGCAGATCATCAGCTGGATTCAGCTGGATTCAGGCTGCCGCCTGGCGGCTACGAAGCCCTTTGTTTCGAAGGCATGTCGGAGTGAGCTGCTGTGGCCACTTCTGGAGATGTGTGAAGCACAAAGGTTGTCTTGGCTGGACGGGCTTAGATCTACCCTGTCCAGACGCATCCTGGGGCCGCAACACGTGCTTTCTGGATTCCCAGTACTTGGTGATCACCTGCGTGGCATCCACCGTGTTGTCTCTGGCAAAGACTTCGGAAGCAGGGCGGATTCGAGAGGGTTCCACAGCAACCCACAGAACTGTTGGCTTTTGTAGCTCATCTTACACAGTGAAAAGGACCGGGGACAGGTTCCATTGCCAAAGGTCTGCTGCGTTCCGCAATTCAATTGGCTTTGTGCCTAAACGAGGGAATCCCCGAATATGAGAAGGTTCCTCTCCAACCAAAAAGCCCGCACCGCATTCCTTGCCCGAGGCACTTGATCAGACCTTCGGAAGCTGCGCAGATTGCCGCCATTTGGAAGGAGTGCGACGAACAGGGCCTCGACGCGGCTTGTCTTACTTTGGCTTCGGCCTCCGGTTTGGAGCCCCTGGCCCCCAAGTCCAGGCAGGGGCAATGTGAAATGAATTTTGAGCATGCGCAACAGAGCTGCTTGGGCTCGCCAACTCTTCAGTGACTTGAAAGCTGATACGGCACTTTTGAATGGAGGACGGGCCAAACTGAGATGGATTCCAACCCGAGTTGGCCTCGACTGTAGCAAAGTTGCCAGGTACCCGGTTTGAATCCTGCGACAGTCTTGCTCATGGGCTATGCACAGACCGTCCTTGCCGCGAGGTGCCTCCTGTCGAGGTGCGCACTCCACTCACCTGTCGGCTGCCTGGTGAGGGCATTTGTGCCAAGTGCTACGGAGAGGACGGGCTGTATGTGGGTCTTCCTGCGTCTTGATGCTTGCTTCGAGGGCACAAACACCAGGCCCCAACTTCAAACGGCCCAAATTGTGCAAAAAAACAGGACAATCCGGTAGAGTCGTTTTTATTTGTCCCCTTGACCCAACTAAAAAAATAAATTGGGGTTGGTCCATGATGTCTTGGTGTCAAAGCAAACCCTACAACGGGTGTTCGCCCCAGTTTCACAAAAGACCGCAGAAAACGGGAGGGAGCCCCAAATCGTTAGGACCTGTCCACAGGGCAGCTGGCGGAGGTGGGGTATCCCTGCGGCACCATCGCCGCTCAGAGTATGGGGGAGCCCGGCACGCAGCTCACCATGCGGACCTTCCACACCGGGGGTGCCTTTGAAGGCGCGCTTTTTGTGATGGATCTTGGGGATGTGCGCGTCAAATAGGGGGTCAAAGACCCCGCCAACTGGTTCGGGGTTCCCTGTAAAACCACAAAAAAGGATGTTCTCAACAATCGATACACATCCATTTAATCCATTTGCTGAATTGGATACTGGTTACTTCGGGTTTCAAGGGAATCTATCACTACTGGGCATATGTTTGTTTTTTTCAGGGGATTTAAACAATTGGAGGGGATCGGTCGAGCAGAGAGGGAGGACCACTGGCCGGCTTCGCCTAGGATTGCGGTAAAAAGCGCCGAAGGGTCAAGCGAGGTTTGGGTGCCTTGTGGGATCTTGGAGCACCTTTGGTTTTCAGGAGTTGGTTCTCTTTGCCACGCATATTTGAAAGGAGAACCATACAGGAAGCTGACCATTTGGAGGGTTTTGCACATTTTGAGACAAACCAAATTTAAGGGCTGCCGCCCTGTGCCGCCGGCCCCTGCTTGCTGACAGGGGACGTTGTTATGACAATTATGACTACGCATTTTTTGTCGGGTTTAACGGCACACTTAAAGCATATACGAAAAAGAAGAGCAGCAGGATAATGATGATGTTTTTGATGATGCATTTGTTTACCCAACATTAGGGATGCTGATAATTATTACTATGCATTCGCATTATCGCCAGCAGTTGTGATGATAGTTGTTACTTTGCATTTTTAGCATCACCAGCAGTTGTTCTGATGATTATAACAACGCATTCCCTGCATCAAGAAGTGCCCCGGGTGTGTGGAAACTCGGGCAGGAAAACTATGTTGGGGGCCTTTTTCCCAAAAACCCTCTGGGGTTGGGTTTTCGTTTAGTTGTCTAACCGCGAGGGAGCGAGGATCGGCAGGGGTTTGGCCCGAAGTGTACCATGTTTGCAGCATGCCGTGTAAACGCCACTGGCCGGGAAATGGCCGAACAGGCGGCCTGCCGGCTGAATTGCCGGCAAGAACGGGACCGGTCTCAAGTGTGCCGAGTTTTGCCAAGTTTACCGCATAGCCGGGACGTCCTTGACTGTCGGTGACTGTGCCGGCTGAATTGCAACCAGCGCCGAGGTGACGGGAAGTGCTGGAGGCCGCGTGCCGGCGGGATTTGGTCCACAGAGGCGCAGCGATAACGAGGCGCGGTCGTCCGTGTGCCGGTGGGATTTGGCTCCAGGAAAGCAGCGGGAACGAGCTGGGGTCAGCCGCATGTCGGTGGGATTTGGCTGGGCGGAGGCGGCAAGGATGGAGATGACGGTGGCGTGTGCCGGTGGGATTTGCTTCTGCGGACGCAACCAGCGCCGAGGTGACGGGAGGTGCTGGGCGTGCCGGTGGGATTTGGCCCACAGAGGCGCAGCGATAACGAGGCGCGGTCGTTCGTGTGCCGGTGGGATTTGGCTGGAGGAAAGCAGCGAGACTGAGCTGGGGTCATCCGTGTGGCGGTGGGATTGGCGTGGCGGAGGCGGCAAGGATGGAGATGACGGTGGCGTGTGCCGGTGGGATTTGCTTCTGCGGACGCAACCAGCGCCGAGGTGACGGGAGGTGCTGGGCGTGCCGGTGGGATTTGGTCCACAGAGGCGCAGCGATAACGAGGCGCGGTCGTTCGTGTGCCGGTGGGATTTGGCTGGAGGAAAGCAGCGAGAATGAGCTGGGGTCATGCGTGTGCCGGTGGGATTGGCGTGGCGGAGGCGGCAAGGATGGAGGTGACGGCGGCGTGCGCCGGTGGGATGTGCTTCCGTGGATGCAACCAGCGCGGAGGTGACAGGGGGTGCTGCAGGCGGCGTGCTGGTGCGATTTTGAACACAGAGGCGCAGCGATAACAGCACTTGGGGGAGGGGGGGCAGGTGTCGAGTTTTCATTGAGTGTCAGACTCAACAAACCTGTTTTAGTTTTCCCCAACGGGTCTCAAAGTTGTACTTCAACCTTCGGGAAAGACAATGGTGACTCACAACGTCGGTGTTTTACTTGAGGTGGGGGAACCAAATCAAGGGTAAGGGTGAAACATCGCCTTTGCGGAAAGACGGTGTTTGGGGGGGTTAAACATCGACATGCGGAGTTAAACTTCGACGTTGGGCTTGGGGTTTGCCAATTTGGGTTTCCTTCATTTGTCCTCTTCACTAGCCTTTGCAGGGAGTTCAGTCTGGCCAAGCGTTGTCTGAGTTGCAGCTATCTCAGGCCTGTGCTCAACATCACATGGAAAGGCGCGCGCGCGGCGCGCGCGCGGCGCGAGCAGGCCGCCGTCCCCTCTGAACCACCTTATAGCCCAAAATCATTGCAAGCAAATAAGAAGGAGCAAGCCAGAATGTAGGTTTCCTTAAAACAAGCCTAGCAAGCCCCGCTCTTGCACCTAAGAGCTTGCTTGCAGCTCAGTGCAAGGCTGCCACCTAAGAGCTTTTGCTGCTTGCAAAGACCCAACTGTCCGACCCGAGGAGCCCTCAGGGGCCATAGCAAAAAGGCATAATCCACGCAGCAGCAATAGCAGCATTGTCGGTCTGCCTGTGTCGCCCACAAGCTCCCAAACTGCTTGGGCAAACAGTTCGCTGACAGTCAAATATTTGTTCGCATGTTGGTTTTTGGGTTCCCCGGCTCTCCTTGCTTTCTTCTCAAGACTTCGATGCATTGCTGTGGACGCGAAGTGTCGTCAGGAACACCTCGGGGTGCAATCAGATGGTGATGGTGATGATGATCATGATGATGATGAAATATGCGCCCCCGGCATCACCAGCAGTTTTTATGACAATCATGACTACGCGTCCCCCAAGTCAGGTCTAACGGCACAATTGAAATGTGAATGAAAAAGAAGAGCGCCACGGTTTGGATGATGAACATGATGAGGAACGTGATGATGAAAATGATGATGATGATGATGATGATGATGATGATGATGATGATGATGATGAACAGATGATGAACACGATGATGATGATGATGATGATGAACACCACCATCATCACTTCTTTCATCATCATCATCATCATCATCGTCATGTTCATCATCATGTTCGTCATCATCATCATCATCATTTTCATCATCGTGTTCATCATCATCATCATCATCATCATCATGACCATCATCATGTTTTTCATCTTGTTCATCATCATCATCATCATCCTGATGATCATCATCACTACGCATCCTCAGCATCACCAGCAGTTTCATCATTTTTTCATATTCATCAGCATCCCCAGCATCAGCAGTAGTTATGATGACAATCATGACAACGCATCCTCTGCATTTCCAGTCGGGTCTAACGGCACACTTGAAACGTATATGAAAAAAGAAGAGCCACGGTAATGATGATGATCCGGATGCTGTGAACCATCACCCAACATCAGTGGTAGAAAGGGGTCGGCGGATTTCCTTCTTTTTGTACGGTTCAACATGAACTGTGACTGGAGAGCAGGTAAGGAGGCTGGTTCAGCTTCTTGCGACGATTTCAGATGGCATCGCTGTGTTTCATCGCTCCACAAAGATTTTCGTTTCTTCTGAGCCCGAGCTGACTTTGTCCTCGGCAAGCTGACGACCGTTTGTTCGCAGAACGAGGATGCACTCCAGGAACGCAGGATAGGGTGTCCTCCCCGGGATTTCGATCACCTTAGCTTCGGGTGGGTCGTGGCAGGCTGGTCTGTCGGTCTTGAGGTCCGCATCCTTAGCACCAAAGGGGAAAGCAACCCCACACATCCATCACTCCATACCACCGGAGGGTCAGCAGGGCTGGCGCTGCGTTGTTGCTCGGTGGGTTGCTCGGTTGGTTGGTTGGTTGGTGGGTTGGTGGGTTGGTGGCTTGGTGGCTTGGTGGGTTGTGCCGGTTGGTCAACCCTGGAATGTGCAGAGTCCAGCGTGTCTTTCCTTTGTTCATTTTGGCATGCTAAAATCGGGCTACCCCCACAACAGTGCCGTCCCCAAACACACCCATTTGGGTGTGGCACAAAATTTAACAACTGGGTTACACAGGTTTCAGTCCTAGTTTCCATATACCAAGATGCCACTTTGGGAACTTCATTTTTGGAGCCACACCACTTCATGGCGCGTCGCAGGCTCTGCCGGTGAGGGCGTTGTGGCCAGTGTCGCGGGAAGGGCGGAGCTGACGGCAGCCGCTTCGGGGGAAAAAATCGCCCAGGTGGCGCAGGACGGGGAACGCCTTAAGTGCGGTTCGCTTCAGGAGTCCCCACTCAGCTGGTTTATGTTTTTTTTTTGTTGCAGGTTTCTTGATCAGTTTAGTCGATGCCCAACAAGTTTGGCTTTGATTTTTTCTTTCCCCGGTCAACTCAGCTGGCCAGCCCCTAAGATGTTCCCTTTGGCGGTTTTTGGGAGTCACATTTTGGACCAATTGAAGGTATCCGTCGGGCACCCAGTGTTCCCAGGACTCTTGAACAATGTGCCCATATGTGTAATTCCCGCGGGGAACTGAGGCATTTTCCAACAAGGTTTTGTATGTCTCCGGCGGATGCGACTGCCAGAGCTGGTGAGGCTGGTGCTGGTTCTGTTGGGTCTTGGTCCCTGCGAACCCATGCTTATCCAAAGGCCGAACTTGAAGCTCCGGGATGACCTGCTGGTTTATGGGTTAACAAGCTTGGTTTCAGTTAAAGCACGGGAAGCCAGTCCGTGTGCCACTTGGGAATCAGTCGCACCAAGATTCAAAGCGATCGAAGAAAAAGACAATGTTTGCACACCTGTCAAAGCATCCTCTCTCTCTCTCTCTCTAATCCTGGGCTATGAGACGACTTGGCTCGCTGGACCGGGGCATCCAAACGATCCCTGGTCGAAATGCACAAAGGACCCTCCACACCTGTCCACCATGATCAGCGGACAGATGGTATGGACATGAGAGCGCGCGCGAGCAAGAGAGAGTGAGAGAAAGTTAGACAAGCAAAAGAAGGGAATCTTTATCTCGTATTTCAAGTGAATGTTTACGTTCCTTGCATTTCTAGTTTGGATCCCAAACCTAAGCTCGGATGGCCAAAAGAAGCTGCAGTAGATCCCTCGCATACGCCAGCCCCCTCCAACCATCCAGCCCTCCACTCCACAACTCTCCACGCCAACCCCTGCAACCCTCCACTCCAACCCCCCAATCCAACCCTCCAAACTCCCCCGTCCCAAAGCGCCTGAGCAGAGGATCATCCCGCCGTGGCCGCCTGGAAACGCTCTCCCCGCGGGGAGGTGGGCTGCGTGCTGAAGGAGGCGGGGGTCAGGGCCACCCGAAAGTGGCAACGTTTTTCGTTGGGAACCTTTCGATGGGACCGGCTTACAGTGGGAGTTAACATCACGCATGCAGACATCCTCCAAGACCTTGAGGGGAAGCGCACAGGCGTGCACGCTGCAGATCCTCGCCGATGGAGGTCCTGTGCAGACGGAAGAACTGGAAAGGGGCTGCTACGTCTTTGTCCTGGATGGCGCCCCGGTTCCGTTGGAAGGGCAGGTTTGGTTCCAGGCGAGGGACAGGGACAGCAAGCCTCCCCTTTGGATTCGTAGGAACATGATTGGGTGGAATGGATAGACCAGTCCTGGCGTAAAACGAGCTCACCCACGATTCCCTACTTTAGTTTGTTGTCGCTTTTGTGAATGTGGTGGTTTCCGTTTCACATGAGCTCCAAAGGGGTTCCGACGTTCTTGGATCATTTAGGCCATGGAGGCCGGGAAATTTGTGCGGGGACGTGTCCCGAATGGTTGTTCATCGTGCAACAAGTCGTGCACCATTCAGCGGACTGCGTGAACTCTGTCTTCAAAATTTGTACCCATGTGACGCGAGCAATCTTTGTGAAGATCATGTCTGAGCTGGAGCGTGAGTGTCCCATGACGGTGAGACGTTTCTCTGGGGCTAGTCTCTTGTCAAAATACGATTTCAGCCAGCAGAGAGATGCTTTCCTGCAGGGAACAAGCTTCGTTGGATCTCAAAGAGGGTCGGTCACCCTGTTTGCCTGTGAACCCCTCCATTAATTCTCCACGTGAGCCCAAGGATTGGTCTCAACAGGACTCACTAGTTTCTCCAACAATGCGGGTATCAGATTATCAAAGATTCGACAGTGGCTCATGTGGTGAACATTCAACCACTAATGGAAAGCTTGTGGTGCAGATAAGATCTCTTCTGGTTTAAGTTCTTTGGGACTTTTTCCGGTTGGCTCGGTACCCGTGTTGGTTGGTCCATGAGGGGTCCGAAACCTGTGAGGTGCGCAGGTGAGCTTTGGCCAAGTCCTCTACCAGAAGCCGGCCAAGGAAGGCACAGCGGCACAGCCCTACGGGAGCACGCCGCACCGAATTGCTGGGGGAAGCGAAGGGAACTTGCCGTGTTTGGGTTCTGTTTTGTTCGGGTCCGCAGCTTGAAATGGGGGAGGGCATGAGGCTGTGAATTTTCGAATGTAGTTCAATTAAAAGGCTAGTGAACAGGCAGGGGCAGAGAAAGAGTCATTTCTTTTCCTAAGGGCCAGAGATGGAGTGCGCTGATTCTCTTCGTGACAGTCGCGTGGTCCCTCTTTTGGATTTGATTGGAACCTAGAACAAAGCCCACCATTGGGCTGGGGCTTGACACATGTTTGACACATGCTCAATGTGATGGGATGTAACTCATCTATCCGCCAGGCGCCAAGTCGGAAGACCTCGAGAGCTTGGACAAGGCTGCTCTTCTGCATGGCGTTTTGTACCGCAAGATGGAAAACCGATTTGTCATTTCCAGCCCCTCTCCCCTACAACGCTCTAAACCCGAAGCAGCACTTAAAGTTCCCAAGCCCAAGATATAATCCATCCAACTGGTGCGGATGGATTTCGCGCAACCATCCACAGTATGAATCCATATCGCTCGCGATCTACAACTCCCTTGTCGCTCCAAGGCCATCACGTCAGGGGAGAGCGGGGAGGTGTTGATCCAAGAGGCCGACGCGCAGCGCACCTGCGTGGAGGGCAAGTTGGTGCCTGGCCGAGACCTTTTGGGGGCTGTCTCAGAACAGGATACGGGTATGCCTTTTTTTTGGGGGGGTGTTGTGACCAGTCAGAGGCGGCCAAGCAAGGGAGTTGAGGGTCAACCAGGGTAGATTTCTTTTTAGCCCCTAACACACAACGCGATGCGCGAAACCAAGTTGGACAGAAGGGACACCAGAAGGAAGCAGTTTTGGGGGTTGAAGTATTGACCATTGCATTCACAAGAAGGTTGGGAAAGGCAGTTTGCGCCCAAACCACAACGCCATGCTGGAGCAACATTTGGTTGTGACACAAGCCAAGATTGTACAGGGCCGCGTCTACTCCCAAAAGCGTAAGCACAGCCTATGGGCCACAGTGTCCAAAATGGTTGGTGGACATACATCTTCCCAACGATGTTCGCCACAGGCCTTTCAATGAAGATGTTTCCATGCGCTACCAAAACAGAGGCAAGCCAGGCCAACACCCTTCTTGAGGTGCTTTCTCTTTCCATTTTTGTCTGGGAAACCAACCTTTGACTCGTTAAAACCACGGGGGTCCTCATTCCCAAGGTCTGGGTGCTGCAGGGCAGCTGCTTGGAAGTCCAGCAGGACAAGGGCTGCAGCCTGGCAGTGCCTTGGTGAGTCGACGTCGCCGGGACCCCAACGAATTCCACGTGCCTTGTCGTTCAAAGCCCGGGAAACACGCAAATGTTTGAGGCTGACCTCCATTCTGAGATGTTTTTTTTTTGTGTGTGTGTGTGTGTGTGTTTTTACAAGACACAATGCCGCCCCAACCAACCGGTTCGGTCATTCTTGGCCTAGACGTCACACTAAGGGCCATTCATCAGGCCCTTGCCAGAGAAGGTTCTTAGCTCAAGTGCCCAGACTCACTGCCCAGGGATTATTCTCGAGCAAAAGGCTTCCATGTCAGGCACCCAGGCTCCCCTCTCAGGGACCCAGCGCCGCCCTTTTGTGGTTGCCCGTGCGGGCCAAGCCTTGCGTCCGGGGATCGTTCACGACCCTTCCGACGCAAAAACCGCACTGCAGGGCAATCCCGCTCACTTCCGGGCATGTAGCTCTGGAGTGAAGAGCGCCTCCATCACACCATGCCGATGCATTCCTTCTCCGCTGGTCAACTTGGCCCTGCCAGCACCTTGCGCACGGCCTCGCGGTGCTGACGTAGTTGAAGCCCCTCAATACCCAGCGCGCTCTCTACCAGAGATATTTCTTCCCGGAGCGGGTGACATAGTACACCTCCACCTGCGCAGGAGCCACAGGCACTGGCTGCTCCCCGGCTGCATCTTCCAGAAGCCGCCGACGCTCGGTCCTTCGCCGTACGCCTCCACCTCCGGTGGTTGCCGCTTCATTCCGGGGCATGACCAGGCCGTTCCACACTTCTGGCATTTCTCAGCTGTCCACTAGCAGCCTCTGGGTTCATCTCCCTCAAACAGCTCTTGACGGACCCAACGTCGAATCTCCTCAGATTCAGCCGGCGCAGTCTGGACCTGCGCTGGTCACGATGCAGGGCCTCCTCTAAGCAGCCCACAACCTCACCACTAGCTCATCCAAAGCAGGATGGTCATCACGGCCACACCTTGTACTCCTGCGAGTCTCCTTCATGAAGACCACCTTCCTGCAGCTATCCTTGTCCTTCATGACCGACTCCCACCAGCGTAAGCTCGCTGAGAGGTCGAGCTCCTCGCCGTGCGGGGGCACTGGCAGCTCCGTGGACCCTCTGCACCCCCTGCGGTTTGACCCACACAGGAACAACTCCCAGACCGTCAGAGCTCCGCAAGGTCATGAGAGAAGGAGAGAAGGGGATAAGGGGAGCCTACCGTGTTAAACAACGTCTTGATGCTGATGCCCTGCGGCTCCATGTGTACTCATCAAGGTAGGCCCCCAGCCCGGTCGTTCTGCAGTTGACTCCGAAGTCCATGCTCCAGCCAAAGCTCCTGGTCCAAAGTTCGCCTTCCGCTGCTTCCTTTGGTTTTGCCACCTTCACGTCCCGACGCTTCCGGTTCTGCTCAGGCCGCGCAGCGCCTCCATAGTCACAGCTCCTGCCGATCTCCGTCGCCAGGCATTGGTAGCTGGGCCTCTTGCTTCGACCTTTCTGACCCAAGAAGGATCAGCACGCTCCTCCTTGCAAGGACACCGCCGTCAGTGTCTGGGCTGGATCCACCCAGAGGGCGCCATCCGTGTCTTTTATTAAGGGACATTCCAGAAGTCCGTTTTTTATTTAAACCACCAAACATAAGGAGCCAACTCCAAAAAGAAGACAGAACCAGGACCAATCAAAAGGGTTGTGGGGGGCCCATTTCGCATTTATGACACCTCTTTAGGGCACCTGTGGCTCGGACATATCTCTGCTGAGACTCCGAGGTACAGGCGGGGGACCAGGTGGCATCTGGCCAGGCGCTAGCGCAGGACTGGGCGCGGACCCAAAGCTCCGGGATCCCCCGCTTCCAGGAGATCCGATCGGATCGGATGGAGTGCGAAAGGGTGGGTTTCCCGTGGGAAGGTTCAAGAAAGCGATCTTCCAGGTGCCACGTTTGGAGGGAGGGAACCGGTGGATTTGAAAGGGAAGAACTGAATCCCTTGTTCGGGGACTCAAGACACCGGGTTCGCCCTCTTTTCGATCCCAGGGATCGGATTGGTAAAGGGTGGCAATGTGGGAAACCGGGCTGATGGAGGCCGATGGAAGGGAAGACTTGGCAAAGCAGGCCTTTGGAAGGACGGGTTCAGAGTTGCTTGGGCGGTTTCAGGCAATCCTTAATCCTTCTAGGATCCGAAAGGACTTGACAAGTCCTCATACTCATTTCCTCAAAACTATGGAAGGTCTAATTCGGCAGCCCTACATTTTTGAGCTGCCCGGCTTTGTTGTTGTATCAATGACTTTTTTTGGAAAGCATTGGAGGAGGCAAGGCGTGTGGTTCGGAGGGTTTCAAATGGGCAGACACGTCAGGAGCCGCCCCGCACCGTGGCCGACAAGGACGGAGATGTGTCAAGTTTTAGTTCATGGCATAGAACGGAAAGAGAAATGAAGCCGTCATCAAAAGTCTCAAGCTCGTTGTCAGACTGTTTTCCAGGGGGGGATGAGTTTGGGGACGTGCGCCGATGCAAGTGAAAACACGAGCTTACTACGAACTATCCCATGCCTGTCTCAGTTTTTGGTGGTTTCAACGGAAGTCTAAAAGGAACACCAGCCACTTTGAGGGACCCAAAAGGGCTCCCGATTTTACCCGGCAGATTGACGTGGCTGAGAGTCAACCACGGCAGTCTGAGCATTTGCCCTAAAAGCGGCCGTCGGGCAGCACATAGAGCCCCCAAATGGTGAGTTTCCAGACTGAAGTTTGCCCAGGGGCCGAACTGACCTCACCTCGCCTCAGAAAGGGGGTTGTGACCTAGCATTAGATGCAGGTAGCAAAATGAAAAAGGAAAGATACTTACTGGCTTTGGGACTTGAAAAAGGAAATGGCCAGGTTGCTTTGAAAAAGGCACTTAGTTCACTCCATGGCCAGGTAGCATTGGATTTTGTGTCACATGGTACTTGACTTCGCGCAGGAGACGTTGTGCCTGCGCAGCGACTTCGACTCCCTAGAGCTTGAGGGCGAAGCTCGGATCGGTTGGTTTGGTTCATGGAGTGCGTAGTGCTCATTGGGAGCCCCATTGGCAGCCATTTTTCGGAATCCGACTGCCTTCAGCCGTGGGTCAGAAGTCATTGGAGGTACTCCTGGCCCCTTTGTATGCTAAGCATCTGGATTCCTGCTCACCAGCTTGTCCACAAAAAAAAAAAGCCCTTTGCGAAACCCGGTTCACACGGGCAACTCGTGTGATCATTCCTCTTGTGTTTCAACATTCCTCGAGGGGGAGGGCCCTTTCGAGATGAAGTCTAGTCCTGCAAGGAGGCATCACGGTTTCTATCAACTAAAAGGTGAGAGGCCCTGAATCGACCGCCAGTCAAACCGCATTTTTCACCCTCGGGACCTTTCTCTTTTTGCGAGAAGGGGGTCCGGGGGTCCGGGGGGGGGGGGCAATTGCGTTCACCAAGCAAGCACCACAGCCCGTCTAAGCTCAGCAAAACGGCAGCGGGCGAAACTCATCCTTGCAGAACAGAACCGCGGGCCAATGCTGCAGGCAAGTGGCCAAACACTTGCGTGATACGCGTTGGTTACTTGGCGGAACACGAAACATCGGACATGTGTGTGTGTGTGTGTGTGTGTGTGCGAAAGTACGTGAAACGTCTGCAGTACAGCCGGATTTTTCCTCTTGCGTGACCACTCTTCACAAGCCAGGGCTCTAGAGCGCATTTTAGCTGTTTCGTACATCTGCCAATTGCGGAACATAGCGGGTCCCATTTGCCTTTTTTCAGGCGAGGAGCTGGCATGTCAAGCGCCTATGTGATTGCAAAAGACCCCTGTCAACATTCTACCGTGGATTAGCTATCTTAAGTTGTGTAATAAGTTGTTTAGTTTTCCAGTGTTGCTTTTGTCCCTGAGCAATGCCATTGCTTCCTGCAAAACGTATAAGGCAAGTTGTCAACACCCAATTCACACTGGCACGGCCGCGCAGACACACATTAGCCATGTTCTTGCAAAGAAGTCCGCCCCTGAAAAAAGTGTCAAACAAGTGCCACGGTCAGTTAAAGGTCTAAGACCAACTAAAAGGGGGATTGTCAGTCAAATTGCTTGCATGTACCACTGTCGGTTTCCAGATGAGCCATAGTGTTGCTTTGTTTCCACGAGACTGTTTGCTGTTCAGCTCCAGTTCTTCCAACTCGTTGCTTTTCCATTGCGGAGGTATGTCTGAAAGAACATATTGACATAGTGCAGTGGGCTTGTGAAACCAAACCGCCCGAAGGCCAGTGCCAGGGAGTACCGGGCCGCCTGCAGCATCCCTCAAGAGCTGCTGGAGGAGCATGCCAAGAAATTTGGGGAGTCATGGTGCAAGCACATGGCCATGGGTCAAAACCCCGTACCCCCAGTGAACATTAGAATCCCCACTAAAATAGACTAAACTGGGTGGTGCACCTACCCCAAAATGGTACCATTGGTTTTGACCCACAGCCACATCTTCGCAGGTCACACTTTCTAGTTCTGCGGGTTGCTTGAAAAGTATCCAATGCCCGCAGAAAAATACCCGTCAGTACGCAATTGATGGCAGCTTGATACGCGGCGAACATGCAAACATGGCGGCGAGGTGCGTGAAATGCGACTTTGACATGCATGTCCTGGCAAGACGTGTGCACATGTATATCTCTCTTTGTGTGTGTGCACGTACCCCAAGCATTTAGTAGTGATGCCTTACGCTGCGCAAGTGTCACCACATGAGGTATGAAACATGCCGACCCATGGAATATACTCCAAAAACAAATGGCAAAGGCAAGGAAGGACTCTCATTGAATGTCGGAGAAGCGGCTTGCAGGAGGACCATGAAGTGACGGCCAAAGCGAGGTGGGTTAAGGCAGCTGAGTGTGTCTCTCTGACGTGGGCGAAACATGCGACGGTTACTTTCTTAGAGGTCCCTTCAATAGTACCTCGACATACCAGGCCGGACGTTTTGAGTGGGCAAAAGCTCAAAAGCTCAAGGGTTCGACGGTTTGTGTTGCTTATGCGATTTTCCCAGCGCTCCCATGCAAGTTGGGAGCACCTGGCGCTTCATGTGTAGTTTCGCAATTGGTCGGCGTTCTCCACGCGCTTTGGGTAATACCTTTGTATTCGGCCAAAGTGCGAAAGGGGTCGTGGCTTACCATGGGGTTTGAGGGTCGTAGGCGCCCTGAAGGGTTGTAGGTGTGACCTTGAACGGGCATAGATTCACCTGTAAGAGACAGAATCGATTTGTGTGCAGCCCTTTGCGCGTCGCCTGGTGTCGCGTTTTCCCAGGTCCCTACAAGGATCCCGGCAATGTGTCTTACCATTTGCCGTTGTCAAAGTTACCGGTTTACGCGTTCTCAAAAAATGTTTTCACGGCAGAAGAAGGCGACGGCTCGCCATGGATTGCGATGAGCATGCGGGTGGGGCTTCTCCCACTGACGCGCCCAAAATTAGCTTGCCGCGTGGTGGGGCAAATTTCAACCCGGATTTCAGTGTTTCGCCCTGAACCACTGAGCTTCGGAGTGAAATACTCGGGACGCGCAGCCTTCGGGTAGTAATCAAGTTTGAATAACAGGGCGACGGAGTAGTCCAGTTGTGGAACGCCCACCCCTGGACAATGCCTGTCGCCTGTTGGGCAGATTCATTGATATTCGGTACCCAGTTCCACGCCAGACAAAGCCTTCGGCCCTTTTGTTCAAGGGTTGGGCTTGAACCCGGAATCTTCCCCTTGGGAAAGCGGCTCGTCAGGCGGTGCGGAGCGCAAAGAGCGCCGCGGCAGAGCTCCGTGCGCCGAAGCCAGAAGCGCCGAAATGCGTCCGGGTCCTGACGCAGGCGCCTGAAAACGATACAATTTGGTGACCTAGACCTTGGGGGTTGACAGGTGTTTTGTGTTGGGAACTGGTCGGAGCCATGTTCCTGGCCCTGGTCACATGGTCACATGAGGATTAAATGAGGAGGTTTTCACCACAAAGCATCCAGCTGCAAATTCTGCCGCGACGTGAGACATTTGTCAAGACTAACACAGTTACAAATGAACGGCCACTTTTTTGACGAGCAAGCTCCAGGTGTCGAGTTCTTGAACGAGCAGATCGTTGGGTGTTGCTTTCTGCTGCGAAGAACTCATAAGCGACTTGAGTCCATGGGAGCAAGCTTTGATCCGAGCACCCAGAACTGGGCTGATTGCGAGTGTCCGAGAGGAGCTCGGAAGCGCACTGCGCGTTTCGAGCTCAACTGTCGCGGTCACTGTTGCTTTTGCCCCCATGCATTTAAAGGACACTTTCTGGATGCTCGTTCATGGGTCTGCGTTGCGCACAAAGGGAATGTTGACACCGGCAACAGCGGTGCCAAATGATCTCCGACGATTCTGACCCGTTGACTCGCACTGGAACAGCATCGGATGTGTCCCTTTGGTTTCCCTTTCCAAAATTTCAACACAGCCCTGAAAGGGAACCGAAGCGACCGCGGAGTTTCTTCCGTTCTGCCAGGTGACGGGGTCCGCGGTCACCACCATGTGCGACCCACCCTCCTCGGGCACAGGCCGCGAAAAGCGGGGGTAGAAAATACGCCAAGGCACGAGTGACTGACCCTTTCAAGAAGCTCCCCTTATCTTGCCAAGAGAAGGAAGATTCCGTACGCCAAGGAAAGCCATGCTTTGAACCTCAAGATTCGACAGTGGCAAAGGTACTTGCAAGTACACCTGTGCATTTTCGCCAGATAAGAACCCTGCCGAGCGCTCACTTCTTGCCGTGGCATTTTTCGATCTGTCCGCCTGGTTTGGGCAAGTGGCTTCACTCCGGGAGCCCCACACTTGAAAGGCATTGACGAGCCCTGAAAGCATGCAGGAAGGATTGATTGACCAGTGCCTAGTGTCTCACTCACACACGGGCCTGAAAAGACACACAGCCAAAGCTCGCGGCCATGTTGGATGCCACGGCTGAAACAACTTGAGCCCAATCTTAAAGGGAGACTAACGGGACATGGATCTGGACTCTTGGCATGCCATGGAAGAGCAAAACAGCATTCGGAGTTGTCTCATCAAAAGGCAAAGCCTTTAGACAAAGCCCTACCAATGGCCCAAGCGCCAAAGGGATCTTTCTCGCCTGCCACTCGCAATAGATCTCGAGCTTCCTGTTCATGGAGGGAGCCGCTGATTTTGAGGAGACAAAGACCTTTTTGAGTATGTGTCAAAAAGATGGGTTTCGGACCCCCAACCTGTTTTTCAGTTTTTCGTTTGCTTTGCCTTTGCACCAAAATCGGACCCACAAATCGTGGTTGTCCTTTTGCCTTCCCTTTAAGCCAACCCCCAAAAGACCCTCAGAAAGCACACCCAGCCTGTCTCAGGCCAAGTGTTGAGCCCCTGTGGGCAGACGGTCACGAAGGAGCACCTTGCGCCCGGTGGCCTTGTTTGGCACCTGCCCGGCGCAGGCGCCGGAGATATGGTTTGCTCGCCGCTTAAGACGACGTCCTTTTGACCCAATTCGGATTGCAGTTTTGGGAGTTCTTGGAGAACTTTTGCATTGCCCATAGTCACCATGATCCGTAAGGCGGCTGACACGCTCACCCAGTTTCCAAAAGAGCATGGCACGCGACAAACATTGACCGTGGCACATGGGTCGGTTGAAACGGACAGATTCATGGAAAACTGACGACACCAACCAAGGTTTAAGTTTGGTTCTAGTCACCGCTGTCATCGGATTCTCCAAACGGATACCCTGGGTCGATGCGGTTGGGGGTGAGATGAGGCATGCGTACGTTGGGATTTGTGCAGAGATGTCGACTTGCAGATCAAGTACTGTCGTGGCCCACCCAATTTTTCTTTGGGCTGTGCAATCAGCATGTGCCACAAGTCCGCCACTTCAGTTCTTTGCTTCAGGGTTTGCTCCGATTTAGTCTGGATAGACTCGTTGGGGTTTGTTTGGCCTCGCAGGCATATCGGTGCTGTGGTCGCCTGAAGAGAGCCTGCCCATCGCTGAAATAGAGAAGGCCGGGCGCAGTCAGAATAGCCCTTGGATGTTCTGGCATTCCACCCCCCCTTCTGATGTAGCCAAGAGGAACGTGATGCATTTCAGGGTGTTGCAACCCCCCTATGACTGGGGAGGACGTTTGGAGGTGTTTCTGTCCTTTTCAGGGCTATCCAGAATGGAAGCACCGGTTGGAGCCACCATCAGGCCGTTGAAGGCACGGTTGAATGCCGGAACACTGGCAAACTGGGAATCTGTCAAACAGCTTGGGTCAAGGAGCAGGATTTTGCCTCGCCCCTTGCAGGTCAGTGCCGCATTTTCGGACTGGACCACCTCTGTGGGCTTTGTTGCCTTGACTCACCGGGTTCATACTCCTTCTCTGGATTCACAATATCCTGCCCCAGTTGGTAGGTGGTTTGCCCCATTATTTTGTGGGGTTTCATCTATCCCAAGTGGTGCGGATTGGATTTACAGTAGTTCTCCAAAATCCACCGGTCACAAGCCAAGCTCGTCCTGTTCCGACCTGAGGCGCAGGGGAAGATCCAAGAGGCCTTCGGCGAAGGAAGGCGCCGCCCGCCCGTCTTAGTCAGTGGAGTTTGTTCGCCCTTACGGGCGGCTCCATTCTCTTCACCTTCTCAGCCATTCTTTTCACACACCGCCCCCCAATTTTGCCGGGTTTTGAGGATCTTTTCGTAGAGAAGGATCCCTGAAGAGAGTGGGGAGGTACTGCTAGACTGCTAGACTACGGCTTGCCGGTTCTGGCTACGGCTTGCCAGTTCTGACCCGGACCTTGGGGATTCTTGAAAGGGGGCGCACTTTTTTGGGCTGCTCTTTCGGTCTCCTTTGCCGCTGGATTGGTGTGCAAAACCAACCCAAACTGCCCTCCTTGGGGCAAGGTGCTTTGTCTTGGGCTGCAAGGGGATCCACAAAATGGGCACATCTTGTTGGTACCTTTTTTTCCCTTTTCTGTGTGGTTAACAGGGACCCCCCTCCCCCCGTTTTTTTGGTCCCTGTCCGGCAGACCGCCGATCTTCAAGCGGAGCTCCGGGCCGTGCGCAGTGGCCGTGGAAGAGGATGGCACCATGGCCGGTGCCTTACGGCGTGAAACTAGATGGCTGTGGTTGTCGTTAGGCCGTTTTGGGGTCCCATTTTGGGGTGGGTGAATTCACCACCCATTTTAGAACCAATTTTAGTGGGGATGCTCACGGGGGGTACGATTTGGCTTTTGACCCATGGATTCTCCGGGTTTGGGCGTGTATTTATTGAGGGTAGCCTGTTCCCTTCCTTGGAAGGGAGACCAAAAGGAAAGCCCGCACATTTGTTTTGGGGTCCCAGTTTGAAGCACGCTCATTTGTGCAGCTCTTCCTCACAAGGGAATTGTGCCATGTACCTGAAAAGGTCTGGTGCAACGGTGTCCCTTTATGGCCTCTATTGAGTCTGTGATTGATTTACAATTCACTAGTTGGACACCAACTATTTTGGGGCCCCGTATTTGGCAACCCCATTAAACGTCTTGCATCGCCGCGCTTCACTTCGCCATCCTCCGTGTGTGTTTTCTTTGCTCCTCTCGCCCTTCTTCCTTTGTCGCCACTCTTTTACTCGCTTCTTGGCCCAAAGCCTGGCAATTTGCAGAATCTGTCTCAGGTTCGACGCAGCCATCAGCAGGCGGCCTTTTTTTGGGCGGTTCGTCCCGACGCGAGCACGTTGCTTTTACGGGAAACATCCTTTTCACACTGTTGACATGTGGTTTCTTGAGTTTCAGGTTTGGCAGCAGATTCATGCATGACATAGTCAAGGGCAGAGGCCTGAACTGGTGCTATTGGCATATGTAAGATGGTGAGGAAAAGCCCTTTCACTGCTCGTCGACCCGAGCAATCACCAAAGGAGTGTCGATGATGGTACATGTGAGCGATGGACTGTATAACCGGGAGTCCGATTTGGGTATTGTGGACTTCCCCCGAACTCCACGCAATTCCTTCTGCGTTTCTGCGGCTCCCACAACCTCAAGAGGTTTACTGCAGCGATGCCGGCGACTGCGAGGACTTGGAGTGTCTGGCGCCCGGTTAAAGCCACGGCTTTAGGAAGAGTCACATTTCGTCAAGTCTGGCTTGGTCTTATTGCGGGCACCTTTTCCGGCATTTTAAGGGGAAGCCGAAACCCCAATTTTGAGGTACCCACGCTATCTACGCTTTTATCTGGGGCATGCAAGGCCTTTGTCTTGGGTGTGTGCACCGAGTCTCCATGAAGAAGGGGCGAACCTTCTTCGCCCCCGGCAGCTACTTCGAAGCGGGGTCCTGGTGGGACGCCGCTGAGGGAGGGGCATCTTGGACAGGAAGGTATGTGCGTAGAGTGGGGTTTCTGTTTTTCCCAACAGCTGAGAAGTTAGTTGCCGGATAGCGCTCCGGAGAATTACGGGGGGGGGGGGGGGCAGTGGTTGGGGATAGCACCTGGGCTGAAATGAAGCTCGGCACCCTTTTGGGTTTTCAAGGGAAACCAATGAAACACCACAGCCATATAGAATTGTCAGGGACAAGACAGGTACGGGACCCTTTTCTAAGCTTGTTTTTTTTCTTCAGCTGTTCCGGGAATCGGAAGTTGGGGGAGAAGCATTTTGTCGGTGCAACCATTTTGCGCGTATTTCTTGGAGTTTCGGCCCTTTTTGAGGTTCCCTATGTTAAGACACCATGGGGAGAGCTGCGAGACCTGTCCGGACGGGGCTTGGCAATCGGCTCGCTGGATATCCGCCTGGCTCCCGAGGTTTATCTATACCAGAGACTTGTCCCTCCCGGTGTTCCTATCCACTCGAAGCTGCCAAAGTTCAAAGGCAAGGACTGGATGGTGGCAACCCAGCAGCAAGTGGCAAGTGCAAAGCAGGCCAGACCGTGCCTCCAGTTTTCTTAATCGGATACTGACCCCAGAATTGTTTCCGTGCAAAACAAGTGACTGATGCTTTCAAGGTCAAGACTGCCGCAACTGTTGCGACCTTTAAACCTTCTGCTTCCCAGTTGGCTGGCTTTGAGGTCTTTGCTGTGTTTTAGCTAGCCTTGAAGTGTGTTTGTTAGAGTGAGTGAGCCGGCGCAGAAATGCGTGAGCTGGTTTCCAAGGTAGAGGGGGGATGCATGTCCGCGCGTTTTCACATGGCTTCAAGGGCCAGAACGAGAGCCGCAGAGAGCTACAGAATGGCAGTGGGCTTGGGCCACGCGAAGGTGCAGATTTCTAGGGAATTGACTGGTTTCTAGCAATATTTTTGCTTGTTTCAAGGGGGATTAGAGGGGATTTGGCAGGTTTTTGGAGGGGACTTTTTAGGGGAGATTTGATTGGTGAGGGAATTTGACCGGACTTGGTCGGGACTTGGACCGCTTGGCCGATCTTTTAGGGGGGGAATTTTTGGAGCCGGGTCTTGTGCGCGACGTCATCATGTTTTTTGTTTCATAGGGCTCCATTTCGTCCTGAATGATAGTATCCTCCTGAAGACATAGAATCCCAAAGGACTCATGTTTAGAGGAATCGTTTTTTTTGGGTGACCTTTTTTTGGGGTTCGATTCTTGATTCGGAGGGGAGTGTTCTTGCCCAAATAGATGATATTAGCAGCGAAACGGACTCCACCCCAAGGTAGAAATCCTGGACGACCCGCAAGCCAATGAGTCTGTGCGCATTCTCTTGCGCGCCTGGGCCGCAACGAGACCTGGGCACGGGGGTCTGGATTTTCCTGCTTTTGGCTAAACACCGTGAGCATAGGGGTTGGTCCAACCCCGCCGATATGGGAAGAGCCATGAGATTGAGATCTGGAGATGTTCGTGATGCGATCTTTTTTGGGTCTTTAGAGCTTGGAAAAAAAACGAGTGTTTGTAAGCAGACACATCAAAATTGCAAGCTCCGCTGAGTTTCTGGTGCTGGCCGGTCACGGACATGCTCAGTCGAACGATTTGTTTCCCTGTTGACAGTTCTTGTGGTTTCCTCGTTTCAAACCAGAGCGCCCTTGGTGCTGCGGGGGTTCTCTTTTTCCCCTCGGCAGTTTTTGGGTGTGGCGACTTCCCCGGTGATGCGAGGGCATACGCGGCGAGTAGACCTCGCACCCTTCGATGCGCGCCTGCCCTCGGAGCAGACGCAGAGGTTCTGGAGCCTGCCGCACGAGAACGGCCCCTCAGATGAGAGGGAAACCACGAAGGGAAGTGGGACATGACTGGCTCTTGGTTATTTTGAGGATGCCTCGTGAAGCTCAGGGGATGCTTTCCAGAATAAAGGAACACCTGACTTTGTTGGGAGCGTCTCTGATTCCCAAGCGTCTTGAGTTTGTTGCGACACAGACGCATCGACCAACATTGCAAATGGCGGTGAAGCGCAGTTTCTTACTCAAATGAAAAGTGTAAAATCAACAGTAAGAAGGGGCACTCACCATCAGGAGACTCACACGGTCTCCGGGCAAATAGGAATGGTCATTTCTTTAAAACAGGGTTTGCTCTGGCGGCAGATGGATATTTCCAAGTATTGAAACCTCCCTTTAAAAATGAAATCCATGCTGTCATTTTGAAACGTTGGATTTGTGACAGGCGCGTCCCAGTGCAGGCATGTTGACCGGAGAGGGCGCCTTTGCACCAGCTTTGGATTGTCAATTCAGGTCACACCCTTTTGATAGGGTACCTTGCCGGTACCAATCAGCTGACCAGTGTGATCCGTCGTGTGGCTGTCGAATTTGTCAAGATTTTCAGGCAGCAGGGGCTGCTGCACATCCGGTCATGGTGGTGGGGGACGTTGGATCACATAGACTTGCAGAGGGTGCATACTTCAGGCATCACAGAAGCTTAAAGGCACGTCATCCCCTTTCCTTGTTTTTTTGGGGGGTGGGTGGGTTGGCAACTTTGAGATGAGGACACCTGCAAAAATTTCCTCCCCCCCTTTGGCCCGGGTTGAAAACGGTAGGTCGAGGGAGCGGCTCAGGGGAGGTGGTGGAGTCGAGTCCCATGGTCTTGGCCCACGAGATCTTGGCCACGCTGGGCCGACACGGCCGGGACTTGTGCCTCCGGCTGTGGGCTGGGTGCTAGTGGGTGGCTGGGTGGGTGGCTGGGTGGGTGGGTGGGTGGGCGGGGTGAGTGGGGGGGGTGGGGGTGGGTGGGTGGGTGTTGGGGGTTTTGGGGGTTTTGGGGGTGTTGGGGGTTTTGGGGGTTTTGGGGGTTTTGGGGGTTTTGGGGGTTTTGGGGGTTTTGGGGGTTTTGGGGGTTTTGGGGGTTTTGGACAGAAGGCCAAAGTCATAGGGTGCCTCTTTGGTGATGGGAAAAGGGGGCGCGGGAGGTGCTGGGTCTAGGCTTATAGGCTTATCCCTTGATGACATGTCCTTGATGACATGTCGCCCCTCCCAAGGGCACCTCTGTCCTTGTCCGATTGGCATTTGCCACGCGCAAAAATGAGGATCTAAGTGCAGCCGGTTAGTTTTTTTGAAGTTTGCAATTTCAGATTGGAGGGCAACTTGCATTCACATGTTGCAATCACATTTTTGCATGTGGGGTTTCGGTTTTGGCAATCAAAACCGGTTTGGTGTGTTTTCTGATAACGTGAGGTCCAAAGCTGGAATTGGTTGGGGCTCACTGCTGTTTGTCGGCGTGAAAGGTTGTAGACTCTCTCACTGGCCCACCCTCGACTAGATAAGTTTTACTTTTACTGATCTGGGGTGAAGCGACCGATGGGGGACTTTGATGCTGCAACAAGCACCATGCAACATGTTTGTATGTGATTTGTCTTTGAGAGATGTAGTGATTCTCAGACTGACTGACTGACCGAGGCACTGCACTACATCGGTGCCAATCAGCAAGGATGTGCCCTGGCAGATGTTGACTCCTGCTCAAAAAGCTGTTCCCCGCGCTTAGCCATTGGGGTTGGGGGTTTCGTTTCCATAATTGTTTGGCAAAGCCACAAGAGCGGCCGAATTACTTGTTATTGTTCAAGGCCTCAAACGGAGACTCAGCAACACAAATGCCACGGTACGCGTGCTTTTTTAGTTTTTGCTGGACTATGCCAGCCAGTTGTAATGATTGAGCCACACGCCAGCTGTGGCTAGCTGTGGCTGCTTGCTGTCACCATCATCAGGTGATGCTGGTGGTACAGGTGATGCAGGTAATGCCGACACATATGATCCGTGTGATGCTCGTGATGTGGTAATGCTGGTGCAGGTGAGCATAATGCAAGGGATGCTGGCGAGTTCGGTGCTGGTGGAGCTGAGTTTGGTGATGCAGGTGATGCTGGCGGTGCAGGTGAGTTCAGGAGGTGAGCTGAGTCTGGTGATGTTGGTGATGCTGGTAATGCTGGTAGTGCTGGTGATTCTACGTCTCTGTGCTCCGGCCCTGTTTTGGGGAGGGCTCTGCCGCAGTTGGGGTGAACTGCCTTCTCAGGCAAATCCCCATGTCCACCGAGGCCCCCAGTTCCAGTTGTACA